AAATTATCTATCAACCTAAGAGTAGTAGAAAGCTTACATACATTAACACATATTTTGAAATTTTATTTGTCAGATCCTCAACATTCACAAATGAAGCCACAAGTGCACACTGAAAAAATACATATGAATGCCTAAAGGAAGAGAAAATGTGCTCATAAAACTGAGAGTCTTAAAATCCTAAGAGCATATGAAGTCATGTAATGATCTGTGTAAATTACCTAATCATAACTAGGAAAGGCATCTATTATTATATAGAAAAGTGTAATTGAGACTCATTGTGAGAAACATCGTTCAATAAGTAGAATTCGTAGCAACTATCTAACAACTACAGACCAAAACCCTAATTTGGCAATAAACGCTTTAAGCATTTTAGATTTCCGTAAGATGAATTAATTTGTCTTGAGAATTTTGAGGGTTGCCATTTTTAGAATACAGAGAAAATTTCATGCCTCAAATGTAGAAATCAAAATTTATTAGATACGAACAAATTTATGCCCTTGTTTGAGTCCCATTTTTTCCATCAAAATGTATTCTTAAACAGTGATTTGATTTGATTTGATTTTAACCACACATTCTTCAATAAAATAATATTACACGTAAACCTAAAACTTTTTCCTTATTTTTTAACCACACATTCTCCGTCATAACACTATTACAAAATGCATTTTTTTTAAGAAAATGGGGCTCAAACAAGCCCTATATAGTCTTGAAAAACACTTTCATTAGGTTTCTATAAATCCACAAGATATATTATGTTACACAAGCATTCAAATGTATGAAGAAGGTAAAAGTATGTTGCTAACGCATTTCTTCTGTCAATTTGAGTAATTGAGTTCACATTTTTCCCGAGAAATATTTAGCTAAAATATTATCAAATGATTTTTTTTTTTCATCTAATTCATTATAAAGATATTTCCTTGACAGTCAAGGACAAATACATACATCAATTTTGCATCTGAGTAGTAGTTAGACTTCTTCTGATATGATACTTAACATTAAATTATTAGGATCCCATGAAGAAAATGCAATAAAGAGTACTAAACAAGAAATGATATAAAACATGGGATTCAGAATGCGAATCCAATCAAGTGTGCGAATGATATATAAAGCTCCCGTACATAGAAAGCTAAAATTAGCTTATTAACTACCACTTCTTCTTCATTTTTCTCCAGTCAAAATATTTCCCAAGCAAGAGGTTTCTGCAATAAAAAAATTCAGTCCTATATTACTTTTAAATACTAGTATCTTTTACATTTTAAGCCTAACTCAGGAAATATTAGCATCATTATATTTTTACCAAGAATTTTTAAGCTTGAAAATCCCATAATTTTCGGTCATTCTTGAAAATTTGCTTTTCTTATTTTTGAAAGACATCATTGAAATTTCTTGTTCCAAGTCAGAAAAAACAAAGCTGCTGTAGTAAATTTTCTTCACCCCTTCCCACCCCCAAAAAAAGGAGCGTGCACACACACACACACACTCACTCACACTATATAGTATATACTACTCCTCCTAGACCTGCTTCCATTTTCACACAGATTAAGAAAATATAATTAATATGGTTGGAAGTATAAATTTTCATAGATTTGTTTCTAATTTGCCCCTACACTAAATAAAGATTTAAATAAAAGTAGTTCATTTTTGTCCATACCAAGACAAATTAAACAGGGGTATATTAGAAAACTAAAAAATCACAATACATCAAGAAGGAAATTGCCTAAATATTTTGGGATAAACGAAAAAGAAATGCGAGAAAGGAAGTACAATGTTGATTGTGGGACAACTAAAAATAGAAAAATTCCATTAAAAAACTATAAATTCAAGAGTTGAACTCGGGAGAATCAAAGAAAACACACTGAATCACCAAAAGTTCGGCAAATTAAGCAAAAAATCATGGCAAGAAAGTAAATTCAGAACCCCACAATTAGTAAATCACAGAATCAAGCTTCAAATAACCAAAAAAAGAATTGACAAGAAACCCATGTTAAGAATCTCACCTCTTCGCTTGAATTAACCGCCATTTTAGAAGAAAACCCGAACAATCAATAAGAAATCCACAGATTTCAAGTCAGAGCTCAATTCCAATTTTTTTTCAACCACATTCTATTATCGAAATCTCATTAGAAGTTTATATGCATATGCGTTTTCGTTCATATGTATATCTATGAATCGATACGTAGAGAGGGTGTGACTTGTGAGCTACATCACTGGGTAGAGAATTATATGTAAACGGGCAGGACTCGACGAGGAAAACCCCTGGTTATGACATTGACGATCACGACAAACATTTGAGTCCCTTTTGTGTTTTGGACACTTATGCCCTCCTAATATTTAATTTAGGATTTGTTTTGAGTTTTTTTTTTTTTTTTGAAAAAATAAATTTTATAATAGTGATTTTTTTACGATATTTATAGTAAAAAAGTAAAAAAAAAAAATATATGTGTAAAATACTAAAATTATTTTATTAAGAAAACATGCTGTTATTCAAGTTTTCATTTTAGGATTATGCTACAAGTACATTGGAGTGTACATAATGGTATACATAATGGCCAAGTGGCTTTCCATCATTGGGGGGTGGAAAAAGTTGTTTGTCCATTAGCCAACAAGAAAAGGCCACTTGACCATTATGGATACCCTAATGTATACCATAATGTACATGTAGAATTATCCTTCATTTTAACCTAGCAATAGTGGCAAGTTTCAATGATGTCAAATCAATCACTGTTTATTTACTTTCCTTTTCATCAACAGGCATGGTACCTCTACGGCTCTACTTATATTAATAATAAACAGTGACCCAGCTCAACTAAGAGTGTGTTTGGTAGTGATTTTTGGAGGAAGAATTGATTTTTAAATAGTGATATGATGGGAAATGTGTGGTTGAAAAAGAAGAAAAAAGTATTGATTTAATGGAAAATATTATTTTATTGAAGAATGTGTGGTTGAAAATAAGAATTGATTTACTACAGAAAATGAGAATCCCTACCAAACAGACCCTTAATATGAGAAAATTGTATAGTTGCTGTTTTACCCTTTTAAAAAATNTGGGTAGAGAATTATATGTAAACGGGCAGGACTCGACGAGGAAAACCCCTGGTCATGATATTGATGATCACGACAAGCATTTGAGTCCCTTTTGTGTTTTGGACACTTATGCCCTCCTAATATTTAATTTAGGATTTGTTTTGAGTTTTTTTTTTTTTTTTTGAAAAAATAAATTTTATAATAGTGATTTTTTTACGAAATTTATAGTAAAAAAGTAAAAAAAAATATATATGTGTAAAATACTAAAATTATTTTATTAAGAAAACATGCTGTTATTCAAGTTTTCATTTTAACCTAGCAATAGTGGCAAGTTTCAATGATGTCAAATCAATCACTGTTTATTTACTTTCCTTTTCATCAACAGGCATGGTACCTCTACTTATATTAATAATAAACAGTGACCCAGTTCAACTAAGAGTGTGTTTGGTAGTGATTTTTGGAGGAATAATTGATTTTTAAATAGTGATATGATGGGAAATGTATGGTTCAAAAAGAAGAAAAAAGTATTGATGTAATAAAAAATATTATTTTATTGAAGAATGTGTGGTTGAAAATAAGAATTGATTTACTGTAGAAAATGAAAATCTGTACCAAACAGACCATAAATGCATGCAGTGATATGATGGTAACGTGTGGTTGAAAAAGAAGAAAAAAGTATTGATGTAATGGAAAATATTATTTTATTGAAAAATGTGTGGTTGAAAATAAGAATTGATTTACTGTAGAAATTGAAAATCTGTACCAAACAGACCCTAAATGCATACATTTAAGATCCTTACTTTATAGGTAATTTTCGATAAGCATAGACAAAATTGAAAGAAAAAAATTCATAAACTATAAGTTGGATAGAAATTTGAGATGAAAAATGGTTATTATACATCATCATTTACGTAATCTTTTACAGATTAATAATGTGTCAAAATAGAAGTTAATAAATTTTATTTGGTTGATGTCACATAATTATTCATTCGTTGGTTAAAAAAATTATAAGTTATAATATACTTGCAACGTAACCGGATTGAGATAAGCATATATTTTTTCCAACTAATAGTTGGCAACAATATTAGATGAGATGGACAAAAATTTAACTTTTTTTTTTCTTCTTATTTCATGTTGGATTATGTTTAGCTCATGTTTGATGGCTTTTAAATTAAAACTTTTTTTCTATATACTCATTTTCAATCACATATTCATATAATAAAATATTCTGCTTGTAAACTCAAAATTTTACCTTGCTTTTTAACAGCACATTCTCCAAAAAATCACCATTTAAAACATTTTTTTGGTAAGTAATTGCCACCAAACAGGGGCTTAGCCCCGTTTAACCAATTTTTTAAAATTTACTTTTAATAACATATTTTGTGAGATTTACTTTTATCAACTTTTTAAACACATATTTCATTAATTTTTTTTTATCAAAATCTAGTAAATATATGATTTTTAGTCCAACCAAACAGGGGGCTTAATATCGTGTACTAAACTTATAGTTTAGGGATGTAAGTAACAAAATACTTCTTCTAAATCATACATAATGAGGAAATTAAAGCAACGATTCCTAATCTTTTCAATTTTTGCAAACTTTATCCTATTTTTCAATTTGTGTTAGTGAGGTCCCTAACATTTTGTAAATATGCAGCTGATGTCAATTTCACCGTTAGTTGACCCCAAATTTTGTAAAAAATTGATAATTTGAACCTTTTAAGCAAGGGCGTTTCATCTATACCATGACAATTTTATATTTTTTGCAATACAAATAAAATTATATAATAAGAGATAATTAAATTAAAAAACAAAAAAATCAAACCAAAAGGTTGTCTTCTTTACCCTACCTACCGCTAACCCTCCAATTGGCCACATCCACTTTTCTTATCGTAAACCGCCGCCACCACCATCACCATCAAACCCAACTTTTCCATTGCGAAGATGAAGAACCCATAACATAGTGGAAAGAAAAATCATCGAACTTCAAAACCAAAAAACATTTGAAAACCAGTTTTTAGAAAGAACCGCCGAATATCTATAGTTGAAAAACCTGAAAACAATTTAATAAAAAAGAAGAAGATCAAAATCAATACAAGCTGACTGCACCCAATCTAGAAAAACCACCGGCCACCCAATCCGTCGAAATCTCTTCCCTAGCCGGCAGCCTCAATCCACAAACACATCCCACACAATTAATTTGATAAATAACAACACAAGAAGATCAAAATGAAATTGAAAAGCCAAAGGAGTCGCACAACTTACCCCTCAAATCGCCACCTACGGTCACACCTCGCACCTCACCGTCAATGGTCTCGCCCACTCTAGGCAAGCATATTCACGATGGAACATCATCAAATCAAAAGATAGAGATTGGTTGGGTTTTCAGGACTTCGAAATGTTTAATGATGGGTTGGGTTTTTAGGGACTTCTATGGAGGGAAATCGACGAGGGTTTGATGATGGGATGGTGGACGAAGATGGTGGTAGTCCAGTGATATAGGCGACAACGACGACGACAATTTTAAATTATTGTTTGGTTTGGGGGAAGAAGATGAAAATGGAATGGGATGGGATGGGATGGGATGGGGTGGTTTTTTTTTTTTTTGGAAAAGTTTAATTGTTGTTTTTAAATCCAAAGGGAAGTTTTGATATGGACGAAAATGCCCCTACTTAAAACGGTCAAAATATCAAATTATTGCAAAATCTTGGTCAACTAACAGTCAAATTGATGGTTTCCATTTGGATCTCAGCTGTGTATTTATGAAATGTTAGGAACCTTCGTTGACCAAAATTGAAGGTTAGAGTAAAGTCTACAAAATTGAAAATGTTGGGGATCGTTGTTGTAATTTTTCAAAATTCAAATGCCTAGCTGAAAAATAATGACATAAGATTTCTCATTTTTTAGTCCACCTAAAGATTAATCTAACACGTGAATGTGAACAGGTCAAAATTATTTGCTATCACATTTTTGTGATGTTAGATTGCACTCCACTGGTATCCTATCTTATTATGTTAAAAAGGGCAATTTCGGTTTACTGTAGATGCAACAGTAACCCAATAAGATGTTACTGTTCATTTTTTCAGTTTTCACACCTACAGTCCTCCAGTTTTATAGTTAGGTACTTATTCCTGCATTATTCTTTATTCTCGCTCATATATTTAGAATCACTACAATATAACCAAAAGAAAATGACTGTTCACAGGTGATATCAGAGATTATCGAATAGGACAATCTTTTCAACTATTATTTAATTCATGAGCAAGCAAAAGCTAACATGATGAATAGAAAGATCTTAATTGTTAGCACTCTTATAATTTAAAAAAAAAAATTCTTCGTGCTATGCGGAGAGAGTCTCCACGCACCGTGGAGAAGCAGACAAATTTTTTTTTTTTTTTTAACTCTTGATAGTATTGGATACAAGTCTTCCTTTTTTTTTTCCAAATTAACTCTTCTTTTTCTTGTTATTAAATTTAGACGATAACATTTGCTTATATTTTATACAAACTAAATACAATTTCACTTATTAATAATTTGCTATATATTGTTTGTATTTATATTAAAATATGTTGAAATTTAAGTTAGATTTACCCCCGAGCCCCCCCTCTACCCTCGCGACTTGATTGGGCCGATCGATCCCCGTCTATCGGGCTCGTTGCCCCTCGACTCCTACAACCTGATTGGGCAGTTCGATCCTCGTTTCGAAGCAGAAAATCATTTGCATAACAATAATAAACAAATACATAAATTATGAAAAAATATATTATCTCCAAANATCCCCAAGCACCACGAAGGGCACTACCTCAACCTTGCGACCTGACGGTCGATCCCGTTTCGAAGCGGCAAACCATTTGAATAACAACAATAAACAAATAAATAAATTATGAAAAAATATATTATCTCCAAACTAATAGTTTCTGCTAAATTTGAAGTTTGTTCAACAAGATGGTATTCCGATGGCCCCTGTAAAACTTTAGCAATAAACTTGACAAAGTTTTACTCTATAGTTAGTAATTATACATGCACTTGAATTATTTTTTCCTCCATTTTTTAATTTTAAGATTGTGTCAACATATTAGTCTCATGGAAAGACTTGTGGATAACCATTGGAATACTGAGGTCTAATTCTAAAATTTGTATTCCATGTATTCATTTTTCAGACATGTATATTTAACAATTAAAAAAAA